CTTGGTTTGAATAGTTGTCACCCCAAACAATGCATCCCTTGGTTTGAAGAGGTGTCACCCCCCATGTGAAGATGTCTTTAACCCAAGGGTCATGTCTTTAACCCAATGGATTTTATTAATTTCCATTCAAATAAGGAAATCAATATTAGTTAATATTAAATTTTCCAACAGAACTAACTCCCTAGCTAAGGCTAGGGGGAAAGCTTTTAATATGAGTATATAATTTTTATTAGTTTGATCCAAACTTAAGCTTTAATGTGAATTTGTAGTTTTGTTCAAGTGGAATTTGTAGTTTTTCTTTTTAATTAATTGATGAATGTTTGATAATCTATTTCATGGGTTCAATATTGTTTTTCGCATTATGTAGTAAAAACTTTCATGCTTTTAAAAGATGAGATAATTACTAAGATAGATATAATTTCGATGAAGATTATTTTTTGAAAGTTTGTTGCCAATGGTACAAGTTATGTAGAATACTTCTAAAGGAAATTAAAAAGAGTTTTAATTATTTTGAACAACTACAATTGGGAAATGTTTTGTAGATCAAATTAATAAGAGTTGCATGCTTATGTTAAAAGTGGAACCCCAATGCCTTAGTGTTTTAATCAATTGAATTTTCTCTAAATCAAATCTTGCATAATTCTACTTCTCAATCTTAATTGTTTTATCTCAACCCTATTGTTTTCTTTACACTGCTCTCTGTGGATACGACACTCGGACTTCTGAGCTATACTGCTATACAACACCTTCGCTTGGGCTTTGCAAAGTGGTACAAATCAGGAGAGTGTTTTATCTCAACTCTGTTGTTTTCTTTACACTGCTCTCTGTGGATACGACACTCGGACTTCCGAGCTATACTGCTATACGACACCTTCGCTTGGGCTTTGCAAAGTGGTACAAATCAGGAGAGTGTTTTAAAGTCTTAAGTGGAGCCCACACATTTGGAGATAATGAAGAATATCATGATGAAAGTGTTGTGGAAGTGGAATCCACATATTAGAAGACATGATTGCACATCCACGGAAAGTGAAGAGACTTTGCCTATAAGTGGACTTCCTCCCTTCATTGTAATATACAGAAAAAGTTTCAATAAAACATCAGATTTCTATTACAACTTAATTTCTCTATATTGTCTCCACAATCTCTTTAGTTTTATAACAACCATTGGATTTCTAAACTTTATTATATTGCTTTTTCTTATGGGGCTTATGAGTCCCGGTCCACTTCCTTCAAAGGCCCAACTTTTGTTACTTTTGTATTCTGGTCAAAATACAATACACAACTTCAAGTGGAATTGAGTTAGTGGTTATATCGCCTAGGACCAGCCCATGTCGTTGAGCCCATATTGGTCAGATTATACCATCCAATTAGTGAAATGGAGGAGCCATCTTTGCCATCTCCACAGCATCTTTTTTAATATTGTATTTGAGGATATCGTTTTCTTTCAAAAATTTCTTTCATCCTTCGTGTTCCTTTTGTCAGGTCTACATTAGATGATGATACGGTGGATGATGAGACAACAGTCAATACATTTGAGGATGAAATTGTGGATGATGAGATAGCATGATGTAACATCCCGACTCTAAATTTAATTCATATTTTAATTTATTCAAGCGAAATTACGAATTTACTCTTGGAGTAGGAGTAATTTGGTCATTTTCTTATCCGGAAGGATTTGGGGACAATGAGTGGTATGGTTATGTAGGTCGTACTGAGATGAATCCGTAGACATACGGTAGGCTTGAATCGGAGTTGTAACAAAGAAATGGCAATCAAATTACTTCCAGTGGCAAAATTGTAAATATTTCAAAAAGGGTTAGAGTAAAAATCTGATTTTTCACTTTCCACCTCACTCTCTCTCTCTCCTCCGTGCGTCTTCTCTCTCTCTCGCGAGTTCCCCTCCCCGATTACTGTTCATCCGAACAGAATAACCCACACCACCGTCATCTCCGGCCACCCCGATTGACGGCACCGGCTCCAAACGAACCGCGCCCCTCC